TTGTACCAGTGGCAGGTTACAGCTGTTCCTTTTGGGTATCTGACCACCCCCTCCCGCCTCGCCCCCAATCCCCCCGTCCCGCCACAGACGGCCAGTTCCGCATGTTCATCCTGGAGAGGCTAGAGCAGATGGAGAGGCGCATGGTGGAGATGGCGGCTGGCAGCGACCAGCGGCAGCAGGCGAGTCAGCGCCCCACCCCCGACATGGAGGAGAAGGCACCTGCCCCCCAGGTAACCCCCCTCCCCCCCAACGCCACTGGTTTAATCCAGACCCACATGATACACCTACAGGGGAGCTTAAGAGTATCAAGGTGGAGTTTCCAATTTTGGGTTCCAGAACCAGCTGCCTAATGGACAGACGAAGGGGGGCGAATCAGCCCATAACAGCCCCCCCTGTGCCTGAGGAAAAGGGACGTTTATTACAGGCCTGAGTGCCTGGTGTCAAACAGGAAGTGGCTTGTTTTAAAATAGCAAAGTTTTTATTATAAGTGAAACTAAACACGTCGGGTCAAAGGTGTGATGAAACAAGCAGCTTCTTCCTTTTATTTAGAGAGAGGGGGGTTTATCTCTAGGATTATGCTATTGGATGAAAATAGGTCGTCCCTGATTGGTCGATTCGGTGCCAGTCCATCATAGGGACGGACACAGGTAAATATAGGGAGGCCGATTCATAGAAACTTCTAGTCGGAATGACAAAAAATAGTAGAGCAGGGGGAGCTCACTTCGCAGTCGAACCCGTTACCCTGGAGGTGCGAGCCCGCAGAAGAGGCCATTAAGCCACAACATGCCGGGGCTGAAGAGGTCACATCAGTATGAAGATCAGGTGTAGAATTTCCCGGCCGGCCCCCAGGGGGCCGGATTCACGGGAAATGACAGCGTGGTGCATTAACTGACGCCATGCGCTGGCTCCCGGGAAGCATCCCAAAAGAAAAAGTTCAAAGCTCGCCTGGCTCACGGCCTAGTAGTTTCTGGAAATTCATCCATTTTGGCACATTAATGAGATTATCGAGTTGAATGTGTGGATAGGCAGCGGCGATGCCACAGCTTTGGCCCGCGGCCGCTAGCTGCGATTTGCACTGTTTTCTGCCACCTGGCAGACTTCCCTGCATTTTTTCAGTTGTGGGTGGTTGTATCTCATGAATCCACTTATTTTGCATCGCTTCTACCATATTTCCATGTATATGATCGCACGGCGAATTGCTGTAGCGCTGACACAATTGTAAGCGAAGACCTGTGAGGTTACCGGTTCGAAACGGGCTCCTGGCTCAGTCTGGGGGAGTTTAGACGGTCTCCCATAGTTCGGGGTTTACGACAGTCTAAGAACATGCAGTTAGTATGTGAGTGTGTGTGTGTGTGATTGATTATATGTGCCCTGCAATAGATGGCTGTTCCATCCAGGGTGACTTCTGATCTGTGCCCAGTGCATTCTGGGATAGGTTTCAGGCTCACACTACCTCACACTCGTTAAGTGTTTAATAGAAATGGATAGATGCATATTTTAACGATGGTGCAAAGCTAGCAGGGATCTGGAGTCTAATCTTATGTCTGTTTCCCCCCCCCCTACCCAGTCTGGCCCCTGGTTCGAGCAGAGGATAGTGGCTGTGTGCGACAGCATGATGGCCAGAGGATGCTGGACCGCTGGGCGTGGCGGCGGCGATGGCAGCGATGGTGGCGACAGGCTCCTGCACTCCGCCTGCTACAGAGGGATGACCCTCCTGCACCTGGCGGCTGCCCAGGGCTACGTGCAGCTGATCCACACGCTGATGCGCTGGAGGTGCGTAAGCCGCAGTACTGGACCACTACCCCACCTTCTTTGGCTAATCAGTACCTCGTTGAGTTATTTAACTAATTAAATTCATTAATCGAGCTTTGAATAAATGCTTGTAATGGTTGGGGTGCCCCTGAGGAGAGGTTTGGGAACTGAAGCAGTGTTCATCTCTCCATCTAAGGCAGGGGTGGGCGGTCTTATCCGCAAAGGGCCGCTGTGTGTGCGGGTTCTCGCTGCAACTCCCTGATTAGGTCACTGATTAGAGGACTGATTGGCTGAAGAGTCCTCACACCTGGGTTTGAACAGCTGACCTACAGGTTATCCCAAAAACCTGCATACACACCGGCCCTTTGCGGATAAGATTGGCCACCCCTGATCTAAGGTGATCTCAGTAACTTTTTGGAGAATGGAAGAAATTCGTGTTGGTTATTACTGTGTTACTGTTGTTTTGCATACATTTTAAAGTAGATTTTCTGCACAAATATATACTTACTACCCTGATAAACAGTTTTGAATAGTTTGTTTGACTGCCTAAGTCCGCTGTACGCACCGAGAGATTAGAGACACTGACGTTAGTGAGAAGCCAAGCTGATTTCACTTCTGGTTTTTCTTAATACATTTAATAAATCTGCTTTTACCTTTTCTGTTCCCTCCAGGAACGTGAACTTGGACAGTCTGGACCTGGAGCAGGAGGTGGACCCCCTGAACGTGGACCACTTCTCCTGCACGCCTCTGGTAGGTCTGGACCCCAGCAGGACCCCAAAGGCTCTGCTACTGTTCAGGCCCTGAAAGTAGCAGTGGGGGAGGGGTTTAAGACCCAGCTCCTGACCGTCGGCTCATCGGGGGACCGAGCCTGGGTAGGCATGAGGAGTCAATTGCAGGGGAGGAGGTGCTGTCCAGTCAGCTTGGAGTCAGGATCTGAGCCCAACTAGCTAGCAAACATGATTCAGAGTCCATAAATGTAAGAGCCATAAAAAAACAGAAATTTAAAAAAGAAAAGCAGTTTATTTCTCAGTATAACTTCCCTGTCACGCAAAGACGGGCTTCCTCTTTTTCAGTTAACCCCTCGTGTAGGATGTGTAAGCAGAATGTTAGTATGAAGGCCTCCACACGGGCACATTCGTATTCTCCATGCGTCGTCCTTTGCAGATGTGGGCCTGCGCTCTTGGCCACCAGGGGGCAGCAGTGCTGCTGTATCACTGGAACAGTCTGGCTGTGGACATCCCGGACTCCCTGGGGCGGTTGCCCCTGGCCGTGGCTCGCTCCCGGGGCCACACCAGGCTGGCCAACTGCCTGGAAGAGCTCATCGTTCAATGGGGGGCCGCTGGTGAAGGGGCTGACCTGGGCCAGACCACGCCACTGCCGCCCCCACCCTCGCCGCTTTCCAGCAGCCCTGACACAGGTCTTTGTTCTCTCTTTCCCTGAAAACCATGATATTCCATTTATATTTAAATTTACATTATTCATCTCCATGGTAACCATAAATTACAGTTATCTGAAGGACTATGGTTTGTTCCCTCCTCCTTTCTCCCTCTCTACTTCTCCTCTCTCTGTGGCTTCTCTCACCCAGGTCTGAGCTCCTGCAGCAGCCTCGCTTCCCCCGGCGACCCTCCATCGCGATCTCCTAGCTCCGCTTACTCCAGTGGCTCCGCCCCCCCCAGCTCACCGCTCCACAGTCCCACTGACGCCATGGACACCACAGGACCCTCGCCCTCTGGGTCCTCACCACCGGCTTCACCGCTTGGTACCTCGCCTCGCCTCCGGCTGCCTCTGCCCCTGCCTCCCTGGGAGCCCACCCAGGAGCCGTCCTTCCTCATGGAGTATGAGTCAGCCGGCAGCCCACCTGGAACGCCTCATTCCAAGCATACCGATTTTGAGGCCGAGCTGCTGGGTTTAGGCGAGGATGCTGAGAATGAGGACTACCTGCCAGCTGTGGAAGACCTTCAGGTGACACCTGTGCTTCCAAATACCTGCACACAGGCTTTATAAACACTTACCTGTTCTGCCCAAACTCCTGCACACGGGCTTTATAAACACTTGCCTGTACTGCCCAAAGACCTGCACACGGGCTTTATAAACACTTGCCTGTACTTCTCAAACACCTGCACACAGGCTTTATAAGCACACACCTGCACTGCCCAAACAACTGTACACAGGCTGCATAGACAAACAAAGCTGTCCCCAAAGTTCTCCTCAACTGGTCTCCTTGTCCAGGTGGACATGGTGACTCTTGCAGAGCAGATCATTGAGGCCACGCCAGACCACATAAAGCAGGAAGAGCTTCCCCGGGAGTCGCCCCTCAGAGAGAGGAGGGATAATGCCGCCATCCCCGACACCATGCCTTGGCTGGCCACCTACCTGGACACGGCAGACACTCTGCCGACACCGTTGCCACCCAGGTTCTGCTTCCCTGTCACTCATGCTTGGCATCTTCTGGGCAACGATTCTGCTGTGGACACTCACTGTCTGCTGTCCTGTCTTCTTCCTGATCCGGGTGGGAGCAGGTATGTCCGATCCTCGGCACTCCCACCCTCTTCCAGGTCACCCCGCTCCCCGCAGCCTCCGTCTCCCCTGGGTGCCCTGGCACTCCAGCGGCTGCGCCCCCACAACAGCGCCGCCTGGGCCGAGTTCCTGGGTGCCTCGGCCAACGGGCGCATGGAGCACGACTTCGCCCTGTTGACGTTGAGTGACAGCGAGCAGCGGGAGCTCTACGAGGCTGCCCGCGTCATCCAGAACGCCTTCCGCAGATACAAGGTGTGTGCCCATTACCCAGCATGCCTTGAGGTTAAATCTGCGAGCCGCTGATCTTCAGATACCCCCTGGGTTTCTCGTCACATGCTGCTGATTACCCAGCATACCCTGGGGCTAAAGATAAATGCTGCTGATTTTCAGGCGTCCCTTGGGTTTTGTGTCACATGCTGCAGATTACCCAGCATACCCTGCGGCTAAAGCTAAATGTTGCTGATTTTCAGGTGTCCCCTGGGTGTCGTGTCGCATGCCGCTGATTACCCAGCATGCCGTGTGTTATGCCCTGTCCACGAACCGGTCCCATGCTGCCCCCCCAGTAGCTCTCTCACCACTCTTTGGCCTCTCTCTCAGGGTCGCAGGCTGAAGGAGCAGCAGGACATGGCAGCCGCCATCATCCAGAGGTGCTACAGGAAGTACAAGCAGGTACTGCTGTTCGCCAGTAGGGGGCGCCGGCGAGCCGTACCAAATCGCACCTCCATCCTGGGGTGGCACTTTTCCAGACATCCACACACCTGCTGGGGGAATCATTACATGGCGCCACGAAGAAAGGGCTTGTAATTGTGTATGGTTGAAATCTAAGGAGATTTCAGCAGTTTGTTCCTCAGGGCACCTAACCTGAATTGCTATGTTAATCATATTAATTCTGTGCACACATACAAGCCCTGCCAGTTGCTCTGAATGAAAGTGTCAGATAAGTAATTCAATACCGTAAGGTAGCCGTAACCCCGCTCATACCTCAGGGACATTGTCTCTGCTTGCTCATTTGATCATGTTTTTCCTTTGTAAGTTGCACTAAGGCCTCAGCAGCATATGCTCAGAGAATTAGCCTGCGTCAGGGTTCCTGGGCCCTCACAGCCAAACCTGTTGCGCCGCAGCCTGTGCTTTCGCTTGGAGTTCGGCTCCTGTCCAGTCGCACGTCGCTGCTCTGAGGTTCATATCTCCAGACTTTTTTTTGGGGAATGAACTTGTTTTGTTTTTTTTTTTTTTTTGGTTTGCTGGCCAGTGTCCGAAATTACGACCGCCACTCCGCTTGGACATCGATCAGAGCTCGCCTTCTGCGCACATGTGTGTGTGTGTGTGTGTGTGTGTGTTTGCACAGATCACATTTGGGGACCTCAAAAGTGCAGTAAAACCTGAAACCTCCTTACTTTTGGGGACATTTTTCAGGTCGCCATTTGGATAACCTCAGTTTTATAAAAATATATGT